GATAAAGTAAAGGATATGGGGAGAAATAGTGAGTGACTGTTAATGGGTACAGGGTTTCCCTTTGGAGTGATGAAAATGTCCTAAAATTGATTATGGTAAAGGTGGCACAAACCTGTGAATATACTAAAAACCATTGAATTGTGCACTTTAAATTATGTAAATTATATGGTATGTGAATTATATCTCAGTAAAGCTGTTTTTTATACAGTAAAAAAAATTGTCAACCTGATACTTCATTCTTTGAAATTACCCAAGAAATTCTGCATGACATTAACCAAAATTTAAGCTAATTTTATTCAAAATTGCTTATAAGACTCAGAACAAGCTGAATGTGGGCATAGGAGAGACATAAGGCTCTGCCAAGCATAGAAGTCTGAAGGCGATAAGAAGAAAAAACGAAAGAAAGAGCATATGATGAACACTGTCCTGAAATCTGAAGGGAGATTCCGACAGAACCCCAGCATCAGTTTTTCTCTCCCTTTGGATCCCCTCCTTCTTGCATTCTTAAGAAAGGAGAAAAGGAGTTGACTTATGTCTGCTTCTAAGTGGTCCACTTGACTACTGATCTTTTGAGTTGCATGTTCAACTCTGCTCCACTGCTCTTGGCCAGAGGTCGTTGTCTGCTTTGCTTCTCTTTACAGCTTAAAACAAGATTTCCAGTCACTCTCAAATAAATGCTTCCACCTTTTCAAGGACCTTTGTAGAAGTATATGTTTTGCTGGGGGAGTCCCTTGGCTTGTGGGTCTGTCCGATCTCTACCTCTGTCTTCATGTGGCCTCTTCCTCTTTGTATCTTCCTCTTTGTCTCTTATAAGGACACTAGTCATTGGATTTAGGGCTCACCCTAGTAAAGGATGGGCTCATCTAGAGATCGTTACCTTAACATCTGCAAAGACATTTCATCCAAATAAGATTACATCATTAAGTGGATTATTGGAGGACACTATTCAACCCACTTCAGAGGGTGGATGAACACTTCCATTTTTGTCATCTCCTTGTTTTTCTCTATATATCACTATATAAAATTATATGGCTTAATCACATTTTGCTGAAAGTTTGGCAGAAATAAAAAAATTAGAGCACATAAGGAAGAAACAACTATATGCTAAACATACTTTTCCTGTGCTAAATAAGAGTCTTTAAGAAATTAAACCTTTCATAGCCATCATCTCGTGAATAATTTAGACTCTACCTTAAGTCCATGACCCCTGTGGGAGGCTTTCTTCTTCAAGCCTTGACAGCGTAGTTGTCCCTTCAATACTCCAGGGGTTGGCTTCACCGCAAGTACTTTTCCCTTTCCCCACCAGCTAGTGCATGGGCCCCAATCATTACTATTTTCCTAGGTCTGAGTTATTTACTACTAGAGTAACACAATGGAAGTAACTCCAACAGAATGATCCAAGGTGGGCTTGGGAAACCCAGTCTGGCAGAATAATCTAGGCTAAGTATAGCCCTCCATGCTCAGTTTCTTTTGAAATAACCTCACCATTGGGAGTTACAGCTATGCCCCTTTCTTTTTTCTAATTGTCTCACATTTCTCAAGGATAGTTTCTCAAAACAATAGTTTGCATTTTGTTAGGTACAGAAACCTCCAATACTAAGCCATATATCCTTTAATACAAGAGCCTGAGTAAGCTCTTAGAGAAAAGATCCCTTCTAAAATCATCTCTTGTGGGTACTGGAGAGGAAGGGATGCTAGTGATGGTAGTAGTAGATAGTATTGAGGAGTAGAAACATAGTTTCATTATTTGGTTATACTACCAAAGCCACTTCTCATTAGAGATCACATGTAGATCACCACTTTTATTTCAGACATAGTTTTCTTCCACATTTTAAATAATATTCCTGTGCATATAGGCTTGGAAAAGTAACATTCATTCATTAAACCAAACCAACCACCTTTCTGCACAGCTAAATAAAATAATATTGGCCAACTTCTCACTTCTAATTGCCCTGAAATATAAACAGAACCAAACTTTAACTTATTGTGGTCCTTATAATGTTAGAAATTTCTACCTTAAAAAGTTATCAGCAGAATCTTTCAGGGTGCATCTTTCTAGGTTGTACCTAAACTCTTTTCTATTGGGGCCAAGGGGCTCTTTGGCAATTGTCTCTAATCCTTTATTCTTCTCTAAATTGCTTTTGGTGTTTAATTTTCCGGGCTGACTTTTTATTGACTTAGGCTTTATTCCCTAGACATTTTTGTTATTGCTGTTGTTTAGTTATGAAATATTTCATTCATACAAAAGTACAGAGACCTATAACAAACACCCACATATTCACTCTTAAACTTAAATAAATGCATGCTTTGGAATTTTTTGTATAAGTGAAACCTTACGTTTGATTCATTTGAAGCCAGACAGGTGTAGATTTTTTTCACCTTTTTGTTGATATTAAGATTTTAATACCTGGTTAAGAGAAATATTAAGAAGTACATAAATTTCTTCAGAAAGTGTTTTCCTTTTAAATGACTAGGAAATTAATCCTTTACATGAGGCGTTCTGGATGGATGAATCCTAGGCCCCCTTCCCTTCCCTTCCCTTCCCTTCCCTTCCCTTCCCTTCCCTTCCCTTCCCTTCCCTTCCCTTCCCTTCCCTTCCCTTCCCTTCCCTTCTCCTCTCCTCATCTCACTCTATATTACTTCCCCACTTGATCTCATCCATGCCCATGGCTTAATTACTCCTCCACTGATGACAGCTCCTGAGATCATATCGTCAACTCAGATCTCTCCTTGGAGTTACAGACCTATACACCCAGCAGTTATCTTATCATACCACAAAGTCTTCAGTTTAACCACATGACCCACCAAAACCATGATTTCCCTAACCTTTGCCTTTCTCTCTCTCAGCAAATGGCACCATCGTTTATCAAATTAAGCGTCTCAGACTTCTGGGATTTAACCTTGATAACTTCTTCTCCATCAACTGCTTATTTAATCTGTCAGCAAGTCCTCCTGATTGTACCTACTCAGTATGTATCAAATTCATTGACTTATCTCTTCCTCTGTGACCACTCCACTAGTCCCAGCCATCATCATCCCTTATTCCAACTTCAGCAATAGCTTCCTAACTACTTTGCATGCATTTTTCCTGGGCCCCTCCAACAGATTGTCTGCACCATAGCCAGAGTGAACTTTTCAAAACACCAATCTGATTATATGACCTCTATCCTGCTGGATCATCATTCTTAAGATAAATAGAATGATGCATAGTGTGCATGATCTGGCCCAGCCCTTGTCTCTTGGGAAGCTTCCCTAACCCTGCTCACCTCCCCCACCAATCTTGGCCACAGTTCTTTGTTAATAGCTTTTATTTAATTGTACTCTTTTCTTCCCTGGGACTTTTCTCAGATGTAAAAATATACCCCAGTCCCTACCACTATATTGTAAACACTATGAAGACATGAATAAATAAGTAATTCTCAAGCTACATAATTTATCAGCAGCCTTGTCTGGATCTTGTGAAAACGTGTGATGGTACGAATAACAAAGTTATGGAATTTTGAGTTTTCATTGCTGTAAATCCTCCCCTCCTGTTTTCAAAGGTGACATCAGGCCATAGGCTAATGTTCTCACTGGTATAATGAGATAAAGGGTAGGAACACGCTTGGCATAAGGTGCTTTATGAAAGATAGAATATTTTTTGAGGTATATTAATGAAACGGAAAGAGCTATTTATTCAAATCCTGGGTCTGCCTCTTGAGTGTTCTTAGAGCTGGAGGCAAGTTGGACAACCCCAAGCCTTGGTTTCATCATCTGTAAAATAACAATATACTACTAAGTTACTTCTAACAACTAGAAAATATATATCCACAGTGCCTGTGCCATAAATGTCAGTAAATATTTACAGACTAAAGAAATAACTGAATAAACAAATAGATGAAGGAAAGTGAAGCACCCAGTGGAATCCGTGGTAAATAGCAAGTGCTCAACAAATTGTAATCATAGTAATATTATGAAATGACTAACAAAGATGTTTTCTTGTAAGAAAAAGGAAGCAGGGAAATAATTGAAAGTGTATGTATTAGGGTGGGGAAGGGTGGAAATCCTAGACAGTCATCCACAGAAGGTGTTTCAGGGTCAGGTGCCTTGGCAGGTTGACTATTGCAAATGCTAACAAATGGAAAGTCACATACAACCAGTTCCCTACCATACCATGTTACCTGGATGTCCACAGGAAAAAAAAAAAAAAAAAATATATATATATATATATATATATATATATATATATGAGAGAGAGAGAGAGAGAGAGAAGAAATACAGCCTCACAAAGAAAGTGAAAAAATAAGCCAGAGATAGAGGAGCAGAACCAGCAGAGGGGCATGTCAGAAAGCCAAAACAAGGAGGAAGAAGGCAATAGTATCAAACCTTCACAGAGTCAGTTCAGATAAAAATGAAGCATGTCATCCAAATCTAGTGACAGAAATAAGAAGATCATTGGCAACTTTGGCAAAAACAGTTTTCAATAAACTGGGATAGAAGACAGAATCAATTAAGCTGTATAGTGAAGGGGAAATGATAAATACAGACAGTAAGCTTATATTTCTTCCTTCCTTCCTTTCTTCCTTCCTTCCTTCCTTCCTTCAGTTCTTTCTTTCTTTCTTTCTTTCTTTCTTTCTTTCTTTCTTTCTTTCTTTCTTTCTTTCTTTCTTTCTTTCTTTCTCTCTCTCTCTCTCTCTCTTCCTTCCTTCCTTCCTTCCTTCCTTCCTTCCTTCCTTCCTTCCTTCCTCTTTCTTTCCTTCTTTCTTTCTTTCATTTTTTTTTTTTTTGACAGTGTCTTACTCTGTTGCCCAGGCTGGAGTACACTGGCACCATCATAGCTCACAACAATCTTAAACTCCTAGACTCAGATGATCCTCCCACCTCAGCTTCCCAAGTAGCAGAGACTACAGGCACACACCATGCCCAGCTACTTTTATTTTTTATTTGTTTTTTTGTAGAGATGAAGTCTTGCTTTGTTGCCCAGGCTGACGACGAGCTCCTGGCCTCAAGCTATCCTCCTACCTCAGCCTCCCAAAGTGCTGTGATTACAGGCATAAGCCACTGTGCCCAGCCATTAGTTTACATTATTCTTTGAAATATGTCTAGAATTGGCAGAAGAGAGATTGGATGAGGTAGTTGGAGGCGAAGACCAGGTTGGCGGAGAGGTTTTTTGTTTCTTTTCTTCTTTTGTGTTTAGGTTAAAAGACAACATATTTGTGGTCTGAGAAAGACAATTAGAGAAAAGGGAGGTGTTCAATATATTGGAGAGAGAGATAATAATTAATAGGGTTGACACTGACATCTCCTCAGTGTCAATGAAGCCTTCATTAACCCACTGGTGCATCCCACAGTAATATCCCCCAAAATAAAAATTTTAAATGCCTTTTTAGTATCCTTTTCCCATTCACCCATGTGGTCCTGGACCTTCTCACTTAGTCTTGCCTTACATTTACATTCTTGACCTCCTCCTGCATTCCTCTGACCTTTGCTTTGCCTCTTATTTTATTCACCCTTAGGACCTGATGATTGATTTAGCATCTTTGGCACCCAGTCACTGTTCTGCCTGGCAATACTGCTGCCTTAACCCTCAGCTGTTGCAACTCTTTTGGCCACTCTGTGTAACTGCCCTGCCAAGCCCTGCTCACTGGCTGTCCACACAAAGAAGAAGTGTTTACTAGAGGAGATTGCAACAAAAGAATGAAATCTGGGGCTCAGGGGAAGGTTGACTTCTGAAGCTGGAAAACAAAGAAGTAAGGAAAGGAGCCTGTGGAATTTACCAGGGAGGGGAACTTTAACATTTCCTTTCATATAAGTTGGTACTATTCTGGCTTTTTACCATGATCATATATTATATTCAAAATAAAGTTCTTGCTTTTAAAACAAAAAATTATAAACAAAGAAAGGAAGGATGTTCATTCATTTAGATAATAGATACCTAGTGAACACCTCGTAGACCTTGTACTGGGTCCTGGGGACACTGGTGGCCAGGTTCCATTCCTGATCTCCCGGAGCAGGAGACATGAAAAGACATTAAGCAAATAATTACACACCTTTTTACGTCAGTACAAATGTTGGGACTTTGGAAGAGTTCTACCCTGAATGCTTCTGTTTTCTCTGAAAGATAGGAGGCAAGGTCATTTGTTCAGAAAAGCAATGGAATTGAGTAGGGGGCTTGAAAGAAATGATGAGGCTAGGAAAAGCAGCTATACGAAAGGGGACACCAGTCGACTAAGAACATGTAAACCAAAGCATAGCTGTGCATACTTTGCATGAATGTCTCCAAGTTCAAATCCCAGAACTTGATATTTTAGGTTGATTCTGTGTGTTACCTATTTGTTTTTAAAGAGCAGAGTCTTTTTCTTCCAGCATGTGTTAATTAGCCCTCTCTTTACCACACCACCACCACCAATTGTCATTTGCAGAAGTATCTTCAACTTATCATAAATTTACTAGTAATAGCTAATTCATGTCTATAGAACTGTTAAGTGACAAGATAATATTTAGATAAAAAGCTGTAATTGCATTCTTGTTAGAGTCTTATTCGGATTTTAACATACTCCTCACAGGGGCCATTTAGCCCTATTCTGCTGGGCTTTGGCAAGCACTGAATGATTGCCCTCCTAAGGCAGAAGTACTACAGCCCCGGTGAAGCATTGAAAAGATAATATTATCAATAAGTTGACTGTAATTGTAAACAACATATTTAAACAATTATATCTTAATTAAATTCTTATAAATTATAAGTGCCTCAGAACTTTCTTAATCTCAAATGCATGTTTCTTCAAATCATTCACTATTTCAAGAAAATATATTTGCTGAATATTAGAAAAATAAATTAAAAATAAAAGGCATTTCTAACATTTTTTCTTGTATGAAATATGCTTTCTTTTATTTATACATCATTGGTTTTATCTTCTATATAGTGAGTTTCTAAAGTGATTTAAAGTTTGATATTGAATTGTATACTAAAAGAAAGTTGTTTTAGATATAAAAGAGTAACAGCAACAATAACAAAGAAGTTGTGACAAAGAGGATTGTTGTACTGACATTTGATGCATAACTTTGATTCATTTGTTTTATGTGTATCTTGCCTACATCCCTCCATTTATCTCACCATTTCTATCAACTATCTATCTGGTAGAGTTTGATATGTTATAAGCTGTGAGAAGTGACACAAGGAGAGAACTTCTTGCTAAATTTTTTAGAACATCTGTGATGTGTTGTACATATTAGGCAAATAATAAATACTTACTGAATTAAATTAAATTTAACCAGGATCAAGGTCGGATGGCTGATGGTTGAGAAACATGTTGCTATGGTAGCAGGAAGAAAATGATGGAAAAGAAGAAAATAAAAGACAAGAAAAAGTGAGAAATCAAAAGACAACATTTTCAAGGATTAACAGTGCTACATCTATTCATTATACATTGTAGATATAGATAATAACAATAGTAATAATATAGCATGGTCAAATTTTAATAAAAAATTGAGTCAAGCTTAATCATACCTAGTGCTTCTATTGAGGACTAACACCTCAACAATCACATCTGTTCATGTCACACAGTCATCCATGTGAATGGAACAAGTATCAGTTGCCTGAAGGACAACACAATTATTGAAAAAATAATTTCTTTTTTCAGTTAAGGTCCTCACTTATACATAGGTTGGTCCTTTTTTAGCTTTGTGCTGATTTCCTGTGGTCTTCCATTGCATTTAGGCACCAACTCATTTGTCTATGTTTCAGAATGCCAGCGTAAAGGTGAAATAAAGGTAAAACAACAACAATAACAAAAAGGACAGGAAAGAACAACAGTGAATAAATGGTGTGGCATTTCTTAGCTGTTCAGCATCTGACTCCCCTTTTGGTGTTTGGGGAATTCCTCATCTTATGAGTCTCAGTGGGAGACTCAGGCTCTGCTCATTATTAAAGTTGAATATGTCAGGAACTTGCTTCCCCCACCTTCTTTGCAGTTAAGCCCAACACACCCCACCCTGGAGCCACAGAGATATGGAGGATGCACTCTCTGGCAACAGTGGAGGATGCACTCTCTGGCAGTAGTAGTGGGAATGCCAGTGGTGTGAGCACTGCATGGCTTCCTCAAACAAGCCCTCTGGTGTAATGGGGCAGTTTTTACATTCTGTAACTCCATACTGGATTCTCCACCCAAAGCCACAGCTTGTCTGTCAAGGGCCTTCATGTGAAAAAGGGAAAGGTGCCCTTGGCAGGTGCAGGGCTCTGTCAGCACATGGTGGCTCTGCCTCTGTCCTTCCTGTGGGCCCCTCAGCTGCCCATGCTTCTTTTCTTAAATATGTTTTCTGCCAAAATCAGCTAACATTTGCCTTATTGCTTACAACTAAGAACTTTGCTGATACACATAATAAGGCTACCACACCGGCCCAGCCATATTCCATAAACCTTTCCATTGTGTTATGTGCCTTTTAACATACAGTATAATTCTTTTATATGGATACCACCTTATTATCTGGAATTATCACAGCACCCAGTGGATGCCCCAAAACATAACACAACTAGCAAAGTTTCAAAATTCAGTCAGAGTAAATAATTCATATACTTACACTGTTAAAACTTTATATGCAATTTTAAATGACTCAACTTCAAGTATTTAAATGAGATAGTTTAAAAGTTAAGTTTCTTCGCTATTCGGGTGATGGCTACACTAAAACCCTAGACTTCATTACAGCACAATATATGTATGTAAGAAATCTGCACTTGTACCCTGTAAATCTATTTTTAAAATTTATATTTTAAGGAAATGTTAAAAATAAAATAACAGTTAAGTATCTTTTGTCTTGGGGAAGGAGGAAAGAACAACAGTTATCAGCTCGTATATGGGGAACTATTTAAACTATATGTAACCAAAAATGATTCATGGGAAGAGTAAACTGGACCACCTAGAGACCCTATTCTCCTGTCCACTAAGAGACTACAAGCCTCATGCTTACTGTGCATTTGGCCACTGTAGCTGCCTCTACTAGTGAAGGCACACCAGGATCCCACTGTAATCACTGGACTTATTTCAAAGACACAGCTACAAATTTCACCGCCCCAAATCAACAGAATATTCATTCTTCACAGTGCCACATGGCACTTATTCTAAAATCAACCACATAATTGGAAGTAAAACACTCCTTAGCAAATGCAAAAGAACTGAAATCATAACAAACAATCTCTCAAAACATAGTGTAATCAAATTAGAATCCAGAATTACTCATTCAAAACCACACAACTACATAGAAATTGAACAACCTGCTCCTGAATAACTACTGGGTAAGTAATGAAATTAAGGCAGAAATAATGAAGTTCTTTGAAACCAATGAGAATGAAGAGACAATGTACCAGAATCTCTGGGACACAGCTAAAGCAGTGCTAAGAGGGAAATTTACAGCACTGAATGCCCACATAAGAAAGGTAGAGAGATCTCAAATCAACATCCTAACATCACAATTAAAAGAGCTAGAGAGGCAATGGCAAACCAATCCAAAAGCTAGCAGAAGACAAGAAATTACAAAGATCAGAGCAGAATTGAAGGCGATAGAGACACGAAAAACCCTTGAAAAAATCAGTGAATCCAGGAGCTGGTTTTTTGAAAAAATTAACAAAATAGATAGCAAGCGAGAATAATAAAAAAGAAAACAGAAAAATCAAGTAGACAGAATAAAAAATGATAAAGGGGATATTGCCACTGAACCCACAGAAATAAGAACTACCATCAGGGAATACTATGAACATACACCTCTATGGAAATAAACTAGAGAATCTAGAAGAAATTGATAAGTTCCTGGACACATAAACCGTCCTAAGACTAAACCAGGAAGAACTCGAATCTCTGAATAGACCAATAACAAGTTCTGAAATTGAGGCAGTAATTAATGGCCTACCAGCCAAAAAAAAAAGAAAAAGCCCAGGACGGGAGGGATTCACAGCCAAATTCTACCAGAGTTACAAAGAGAAACTAGTACTATTACTTCTGAAATTATTCCAAACAATTGAAAAGGAATGAAGCCAGCATCATCCTGATACCAAAATCGGTAGAGACAGAACAAAAAAATAAAGCTTCAGGCCTATATCCCTGATGAACATTGTTGTGAAAATTCTCAATGAAATACTGGCGAATTGAATCCAGTAGCATATCAAAAAACTTATCCACCACAATCAACTCAGCTTCACCCCTGGGATGCAAAGTTGGTTCAACATATGCAAATCAATAAACTTAATCCATCAAATAAACAGAACCAATGACAAAAAACACATGATTATCTCAATAGATGCAGAAAAGACCTTTGATAAGATTCAAAATCCCTTCATATTGAAAACCATAAATAAACTAGATATTGATGGAACATATGTCAAGATAATAAGAGCTATTTATGAAAAACCCACAGAATATCATATTGGATGGGCAAAAGCCGGAAGCATTCCCTTTGAAAACTGGTACAAGACAAGGATGCCCTCTCTCACCACTCCTATTCAACACAGTATTGGAAGATCTGGTCAGGGCAATCAGGCAAGAGAAAGAAATAAAGGGTATTCAAATAGAAAGAGAGATAGTCAAATTGTCTCTGCTTGCAGATGACATGATTTTATATTTAGAAAACCACATCATCTCAGCCTAAAAACACCTTAAACTGTTAAGCAACTTCAGCAAAGTCTCAGGATACAAAATCAATGTGCAAAAATCACAAGCATTCCTTTACACCAACAATAGACAAGGAGAGAGCCAAATCATGAATGAACTCCCATTCACAATTGCTACAAAGAGAATTAAATACCTAGGAATATAGCTAACAAGGGATGTGAAGGACCTCTCCAAGGAGAACTACAAACCACTGCTCAACGAAATAAGATAGGACATAAACAAATGGAAAAAAATTCCATCCTCATTGATAGGAAGAATCAATATTGTGAAAATGGCCATACTGCCCAAAGAAATTTATAGAGTCAATGCTATTCCCATCAAGCTACCATTGTCATTCTTCACATAATTAAAAAAAGACTTTAAATTTCATATGGAATAAAAGAAGGCCCCATATAGCCAAGACAATCTTAAGCAAAAAGAACAAAGCTGGAGCCATGATGCTACCTGACTTCAAACTATACTAGAAAGCTACAGTAACCAAAACAGCAGAGTACTGGTACCAAAACAGACATATAAACTGAAGAAACAGAACAGCAATCTCAGAAATAACACCACACATCTACAACCATCTGGTCTTTGACAAACCTGACAAAAACAGGCAAAGGGGAAAGGATCTCCTATTCCATAAATGGTGCTGGGAAAACTGGCTAGCTGTATGCAGAAAACTGAAACTGGATCTGTTACTTACACCTTATACAAAAATTAACTCAAGATTGATTAAAGGCTTAAATGTAAAACCCAAAACCATAAAAACCCTAGAAGAAAACCTAGGCAATACCATTCAGGACATAGGCATGGGCAAACACTTCATGACCAAAATACCGAAAGCAACTGCAACGAATCCAAAATTGATGAATGAGATCTAATCAAACTAAAGAGCTTCTATACAGTGAAAGAAACTATCATCAGAGTGAAGAGGCAACCTACAGAATGGGAAAAAAATTTTGCAATCTACCTATCTGACAAAGGTCTAATTTCCAGAATTTACAGGAACTTAGCAAATTTACAAGAAAAAAACAACCCCATCAAAAAGTGGGTAAAGGATATGAACAGATACTTCTTAAAAGAAGACATTTATGTGGTCAATAAACATAGGGGAAAAAAAAAGCTCAACATCACTGATCATTAGAGAAATGCAAATCAAAACCACAATGAGATACCATCTCACACCAGTCCAAATGGCAATTATTAAAAAGTCAAGAAACAACAGATGCTGGTGAGGCTTTGGAGAAAAAGGAACACTTTTATACTGTTTGTGAGAATGTAAATTGGTTCAACCATATGGAAGACAGTGTGGCAATTACTCAGGGATCTAGAACCAGAAATACCATTTGACCCAGCAATCCTATGACTGGGTATATATCCAAAGGAATATAAATCATTCTGCTATAAAGACACATGCACACATGTGTTTATTGCAGCACTACTTACAGTAGCAAAGTCATGGAACCAAACCAAATCCCCATCACTGATAGACTGGATAAAGAAAATGTGGTACATATACACCATGGAATACTTTGAAGCCATAAAAAGGAATGTGATCACATCTTTGCAGGGACATGGGTGAAGCTGGAAGCCATCATCCTCAGCAAACTAACACAGGAACAGAAAACCAAACACCGCATGTTCTCACTCATAACTGGGAGTTGAACAATGAGAACACATGGACACACGGAGGGGAACAACACCTACCAGGGCCTGTTGGGGAGTGGGGAACGAGGTGAGGGAATTTAGAGGATGTGTCAATAGGTGCAGCAAACCACCATGGTACACATAAACCTATGTAACAAACCTGCACATTCTGCGCATGTATCCCAGAACTTACAGTAAAATGAAAAAATAAAAAGAAAATAGAAACTATTACTCATGAGCTCCCCCATCTTAGCACCAGCAAATCTACAACTACTCCTGCATCTGTACCCATTTTTTTCATCCTTCCTGCTAACGGACAAGTGTTTCCATGGTTATCAAAGGCAAGTATCTACTTGAATGCTCAGATGTCTTTTCCTTCTCCCCAAAAGACCTCAATCTACTGATTATCACAATGTCCTGTCCCTGGCCCTTGTCTTTACCTTCCCTTTTATGTAAGTCCTTCCCACATTAAGAAGAAGCTCTCATTTCTCTCATCTTATTGATGTGTTATCAATAATCTCTCCCAGTTTGTAGACTGTCATTTCACTCTCTTTGTGGTATCTTTTGATGAGCAGAAGTTCTTAACTTTAATGTAATTCAGTTAATCTATCTTTTATGACTTATGTTCTTTGTACCATATTTACAAAATTCTTTCCTACCCTGAGGTCATAAAGACATACTCTTTTATTGTCTTTTTAAAGTTTAATAATTGTGGCTTTCTCATTTAGATTTTAAATCCAGCTATGATTATTTTTTTAAAAATATGGCATGATAAAGAAATACAACTTTACATTTGTCTAAAAGGATAACCAATTTCCGAGAATGATTTATTTTTTTAAAAAAATATTTATTTCCCCATGGATCTGCAGTATGACCCCACCCCATCTTGTTTCAACATCCCATATATTGATGAGTTTGTTTTGGGAGTCTAATTTGTTCTGTTGGTCTATTTTTCTATGCCTGCACCAACACCTTATAGTTGTAATCAATTTAGCTTGATAATACCTTACATAAAGCATGTACAATTAGGGTGTCACTCTCACCCATTTTTTCTTCAAAAGTGTTTTGGTTATTTTTGGTTCTTTGAATATATAAAATAAAAAAGAGCATCAATTTTCAAAGAAAAAAACCTGTTGGGGATACGATTACTATTTTATTGAATCAACTTAGGGGAAATTGACCTTTTTAGAATATTGCACTTTCTAATCTGGTCTGGCTTTCCATGTAATTAGACTGCCTTTTTGTTCAGAAAAGTTTTATATTTCTCCAGAAAGGTATTGCATGTCTCCTGTTATGTTTATTATTAGGTACTTGTTTTAATGCTACTTTAAATAATCTCTTTAATTTTATTTTTCAACTACTGCTGGCATGTGAGATGCATACTGATATTTATTTAATTTTGTTTCCAAACTCTCCTGCTAATTCTTCTAATTTATCTAAAAAATCTTTTTTTAGTTTTTATGCAAAAATATTATTTGCAAGTAATTTCAATTTTGTTTCTTCCTTTCTAATGCTTTTAATTTTATCTTCTTATTTTTGCCTTCTTTGCATAAAGGCATGCTAATTATCAAATAAAGTGGGCTGTGTTGTAAGTAGATGTATTAAACAAATTCCACCTTTGTATGTATCAATTTGCAATAGTTCATTGGTAATAAGTGGAGAAGTAAATATGTGATGAATAATGTCCAAAAGAACTATTAAATGCCATGTTAATGAAGATATCTGTGATGTTGCAATGCTATATCATCTTGATACCAGTAAATAAACTTTACGGAATTTTCAAATTGTGCCTCATTAAAAATACCTTTTAAAGATTGCCCATTGGCAAAATTTTGACTAACATATCTGATTACCCTGAGTTAGCAAGCAAAGTTTTGATGTTAGTAACATCATTTTATACAATACATTTGTGAACAGGCATTTGTACAGACAGCATCTTTTAACTACTAAATCAAGCTTTGACAATTTAGTTTTCACAAAACATCTTCCATAATAGTTTATTTATGTTCTAAATTCTAGTTATATTTTTCCTAGTGCTTACTTTGTAAGTTTATTTGGTTTTATAGTGGTATAAGAACAATAATTATACTGTCATTATACCCAGTGTTGTTACACATTTAAGTAACTATAATTAAAGTAGTTTAAATAAATCCTGGAAATCTATGTGGATGTTTTTCCTTTGAGATCATCTGTTATTTTATTACTTATATTTGAGAAATTCTGTTCTTACGAGCTAGGAAACTACTTGGTTCCACTTTGGAGAATCCTGGCTTTCCTGGTCATCCTAAATGTGGGAAAAAAAATTTCCAGTTACCTTCTTACATTGGGTGGAGATATTTCACTACATCATTTTCCACCCTGTAAGGGCTCCTGAGTGAACTTCTTAAAATGGCCATCTGATCCTAACCTTTGACTACTTAAAAGTATTCAGTAATTTTCCTTTACTTTTAATATAAAATTCAAAATTTTTAACATGACTCAGAATACTCTATAATTTGATTCCTACCTACCTCTCTAAATTCGTTTTTGCAAACTATTTCTTTCCCAGTTGACTTTATCTCAATAAGTGAAAAACTTTGTTCTTTCAATTTCTCAAACCAAAAGTCTTGGAGTCACCCTTTCCTCCTCCCAGTCATACACCACATTAGCAAATTTTTCAGGCTCTACCTTCAAAATATGTATGAAATGGGACCACTCATTATTGCCATACCATTATCTTGTCCATGCCACCATATTTGTTAGAATTTTGCAATAATTTCTTAATTAATGCCCTTACTCCTGTATTTGTTTTCTGTTGCCATTGTAACAAATTGTCACAAACTCAGCAACTTAAAATAGCACTAATTATTATCTCACAATTCCATACCAGTCCAATAGGCTTGGCTGACTTTCTGCTCTGGATCTCACAAAGTTAAGTGTCAAGACAGGATTGTGTTTCTTTCTGGAGGTTTGAGGGATGAATCCATTTCCAAGCTCATTCAAGTTGTTGGCAGAATTCAGCTCCACCTGAATATAAGATAGAAGTCCTCAGTTCCTTGTTGGCTGTTTGCTGGGGGTTGTTCTAAACTTCTAAAGATCATCTGTACACCTCAGCTCATTGGCCCTCTTTTTTCTCAAATCTCTCTGACCTTCCCTTTGCCTTATCTCTCCCCTGCCTTTCTCTTGTTCTGCCTCTCTTTTTCTTTTTCCGGACAGAGAAATTTCTCCATCTTCAAGGGCCCAAGTGATTAGATTGGTCCTATCCAGACAATTCAGGATAGTTCCCTATTTTAACGTGAGCTAATTGATAACTTTAATTCCAGGAGGACCTACATTCGTGTTTGAATAACCAAGGTACGGAAATCTTGGGGGAGGGAATTCTTCCTACCACAGCACTCCTCTAATTATTTTCACCACAGTAACTGCAATGGTCTTTAAAGAATATTAATGCTTGTTTCTGTCACTTTTCTGCTCAAAACCATCCAGGGACTTCCCATCTCATTCAGAGTAAGAAACAAAACCCTCAGGAAGGCCTATAAAGTCTTACATAGGATGTGGTGTGCTCTCTCTCTCTCTCTCTCTCTCTCTCTCTCTCACACACACACACACACACAATACCCTCAATACCTGTCTGATTTTATTTCCCCTCACTCCTTACTCATCTCCAGCCACGCTCATCTCTGCTTCTCCTCAAACTTGCAAGCCATTCAGTGTCTCAGGTCTTTGCACTTACACATATCCTCATGGCTCTTCTCTTTACCTCCTTCTATGCCTCTGCTCAGAAGTTACTTTATCAGTGAGGCCAAGCTCCTTGCTCCCTGTATTTCCTCACCCCATGCATCCTTTTCTTCTCTGCAGACCCTTAAAAACCATCTGAATATTCTACTTGTTTAGGTGATGCTTGTTTAGGTGATGCTTGTTTGAGTAAAACCAGACCACAAAAATGTTTTAAGTCCCAGTATTAGTTAAATGTTATCTTCATAAGCAAGATAAAAACCACTGAGCCTATAATCTATTTCTAGGTGGATTTAGGAGAAAATAATCCTATGGGAAGTAAACTTCTGCTCCCAATGCAATAGTTCTGGGGCAGATACACCACTAATGAGGAGGTCCTACTCTGATGAATACATGTGCGGTGAGACCTGAGCCCTGGAGAGGTTGGGGTTGCCACTGGATCTAGCTCGCTGCTTCAGATGATGCTTTGAAGCTGCTTTATTCCCTCTTCTCTTCTCTCTGGACAAGAGGGCAGGAGTGGAGATTCAGCGTCAGTCAAGCCTTGTTGCAAGAAGATGCTCTAATCCTACAGTTGTCCCAACCACAGCCAGGTTGAGGGAGACTGGACTCTGAGAATATACTACCTTAGAGCTAAAAAGCAGGCTATATGGGGGAGAGGGTAGCTATTTAGTCTTCTAAGTTTTTTTTATTGTTCACTGTTCCCTTTGAGGAGGCTCTTCTTCCTTTTGTAAGAGCCTCTCACAGAGAGCTCAAGTTGAGCTGACAATGTGAGTGGATTTCAATGATCATGTTTAATACCTCTCAGCTAATGAAGAAGACATACAGATCAAATTGTACAAAAATTAAAGGAAATAACGAGTGACATTTGTGAAGATACTTTTCTGCTTACAACATTATAGAAGCTGTATAAATGATTCTACTAATTTTTTAGAGTCTGTTCCACAAACCAGAAACCATCCAGTAAGCTAGAGATAAGCAGGACTCATAAAGAGCCTACCTCTAGATAAGAATGATTAGTTTCACAGAAAGAAAAATAAAAATGTATTTGTTCAATTCATACATTCAACAGACATTTAAAGTGATCAACATTTGACTTTTGTTAATGGTCCAAAAGAGAATGTTGAATTGAACAACCTCCCTCTGTGTGTTCCCCAGGCTTTGTGGATTTCCACAATGCTGTGAGCAATTACACATCCCAGTCAAAGCCAAGGAGACAAAGCCACTGTGTGGTGAGGGCTAATGATTTGCCATAGGACTTTAGATGTGGTTTTCTGGTCTATCTGGGCTCAATTTCCTCAACTCTAAGAGAAGATAAACATTTCTCATTAAGGGTTTTGAGAAACAATTGATGAGCTACTTATAAAAAACTTTGCCAAAATGTGATGTCACACCAGGGATCAACAATAAAGGCCGCTTTATAGTTACAGAATGTTTTGAAGGCTGATCAGAGAGGGTGTGGATGATGTCAATGTGGGAACTAACGTTCTGTTTAGATTTTGTTTTCTTTTCTTGTGGTGCTGTGAGGAGGGCTGCACATCTCCAGAGTTAGTCACTTAGGTCTGGGCTTCCTGTGTGGTGGGCATTTTGACAGCAATGGAATGACGGAAATGAATAAATTGTTATTGACTTCAAGGAGCTTAGAGAATCGGGGAGGCAGAAAAATGGGCGCTCGCAATTCCCTGCGGCAAATGCTTCCAGAATGTAGATGTTGGTGCTATGGAATACAAAGGAGAACCATAGCAAAGCAGCTAAATCTGAAAGGATCTGTACAGGGAGAAATGGATAGAAAAAAATGGTCCCAGGATTGTAGAGAGATGTTCCCATCTGGCTGAAGTGCAGAGGGCACAAGGAGGAGCAGCGGCCGAAGTGGAAGGCTTATGCACGTTCCGGGTTTCTACCTAAGCTTTACCCTAATGGCAGTGGGAAACCATTGAAAGGTTTGAGATAGGAAAGCAACATAGTTAGATTTGTGTTTTAAAAGACCACCCTATAAAGGTGTTCTAAAAGGTCACGGTGTTATTTATATTTCACCACACTATCTTTTAAAAAGTCACTATGAATAATTTTTTTCATAAAAGAAAACACTTGACATATAAGATCTCATCAAAATAGAAACCTTTTGCTCTGTGAAAGTTCATGTGCAGGGGATGAAAAGACAAGCTACGGAGTGGGAGAAAATATTTGCAAACCTCATACCCAACAGAGGATTAGTATGTGGAATATATAATAAACTCTCAAAACTTAACAGTAAAAACAACAACAAAAAAATTAAATTAGAAAATGGACAAAAGACGTGAACAGCTATTTCACCGAGGAGGATTACAGATGGCAAATATGCACATGAAAAGATGTTCAATATCATTTTCCATCAAGGAAATGTAAACTAAGCCCACAAGGAGATATCACTACGTACCTATCAGAGTGGCTGAAAGAGTAACACCACCAAATGCTGGTAAGGACATGGAGAAACTGGATCATCCGTACTTTACCGTGGAATGTAAATAGTAGAGCTACTCTGAAAAACAGCTTGGTAGTTTCTTATAAAGCTTAATATGCAACTACATAACACTCAATAATTGCATTCATGGATATTTACCCCCAGAGAAATGAAAACATACATTCACACACCAAAAACAAAAAAAAAAAAAAAAAAAAAAAAAAAAAAAAACTGTACAGGAATGTTCACAGCAGCATTATTTATAAGCTAAAAATCAAAATAAATCTAGATGCCCTTCAACAGGAATGGTTGAACAAACTGTGGCACATACCACAGAATACTTCTCCACAATCAAAAGGAACAAACTATTGATGCACATGGCTTGGATCAATCTCCAGGGAATAATGCTGCCTGAAAAAGCCAGTCCTAAAAGGTTGCATAGTGTATGATTCCATTTATATGACATTTTTGAAATGACGAAGTTCTTGCAATGAAAAACAGATTAGTTGTTGCCAGGAGTTAGGGATGAGGAAGGTGGGGGCCATGCAGGAAGGAGGTAGTTATACTTGTAAAAGGACAAACTGAAGGATCCTTGCGGCTTTGAAGGCTGACTGGTGGTGGGTATGTGAAACCACAGGTGATAAGACTGTATAGCACTTAATACACTCACACATACATTCACAAATATACACACTCACACATACACACATGCAAATGACTATAAGTAAAGCTGGGAAAATCTGATGAAAATAGGTGTGCCATGTCAATGTTAATAACATTATTAGACTATGGTTTTGCAAAATCTTCCCACTGGGGAAACTGGGGAAAGTATACAGGGAATCTTCTTGTGTTACTTTTTACACTGCATGTGAATCTACAATTATTGCAATAAAAATTTCAGTGGAAAAAAGGTCACTCTGACTGTCATGTAGAGACGGGATCGAAGGCGGTGGTTCTCACACTGAAGTGCTTGGAGGGCTCGTTAACCACAGATCACTGGGCTTTACCTCCAGAATTGCTTATTCAGCTGGTCTGGGTGGGACCTGGGAATTTGCCTGTCTTGCAAGTTCCCAGGTGATGCAGATACTTCTGGCTGGGGAACCATTCTTTGATATCCACTAAATTAGAGTCATTGTAGCTTTCCCTTGACTTCTATTTATTTCAAAGGGGAAAGCAGACTACTTGTTCCTTGGTGTTTCTTTCAAAAGTCTTTAAAGACTGCCCATGCCTTTGTCTTTTAGGACAGCCCTGAAGTATCTGGTTAGAGCAGTAGTTCTCAGAGTGTAGCCCTCAGGCAGGTGGCATCAGCAACACTAGAGAACTTGCTAGAAATATACATTTTGGGGCTCCACCTTAGACCTGGTGAATAAGAAGCTGTCAGGTTGGGGCCCCAGCAATCTCTGTTTAAGATTCTGATGCATGCTAAATTTTAAGGACGATTACATTAGAGGAAGACAGGAAGATGTTAGGAAGCCAGTTAGGACCTTTTTATTTTATTTACAGTATTAACAAGTAGGTGGGTCCTCCCAGGGGCACCTAATTTTGAAACAGGATGTAGCAAAGGAAAAACTGAGGTGAGGTCTCCACAGGGTAGTGGTTATTGACTTCTAGTCTCTAACCTGCAGATGCAGATGGCAACACTAACTTATCTCCACAGCAGGTGCTGTTCTAATTAACCAATAAAGATATTAGAAAGCACATAGGAAGAAGAAAGCCCAAGATTAACACTAAGTGGCAATTAGTGGTATTAGGCAATGCCTATTATCTGCTCATAAACATATCAACACGCTGATCTTAAAAGGGAATAAAACTAGACAGTGTTTGTGAACCACCAGGCTTTCAGGGGCATCTTATT